TTGCGTGTCATCGTTTTATCCCCCACAAAAAAAATTACTTAAAAAAAGGAAAAAAAAAATATTGCGTGCCCCCCACCTCTGAAATCAAAATTTCGTGCTTGCTTCAACATGTATGTTGTTAACACTAACGTTTATTATTTATTTATGAAAGAGAAAAAACAGTACCTTTAAATTCAACAAATGTAGAAAAAAAATTAAAATTACACAAAGGAAAGCCGGCAAATAAAAATAACTGCCAGCAAAATGCTGGGTACAATTGCTCATATTTTATCTTCCTTAAAGCTTGAATTAGAGCAGTATTTCAAACTTGCAGCATGTCCTTAGTGGTTCTAGATAAACACCCACACAACATCAGCTCTTAAGTAGACTGTCCAAGGACGATATTCTTTTACCTCATTTACCATTTAAACCCACTATTTCCCTACTTTAATAGCAAAGCATTAGTTCATACTTGGCCTGCCAATATCAGCCAACGGACAATCTCTGTCCAATACAGTTAATTGGCTTCATAAATAGAAGTAAACATAAAGCTCCTAAGCCAACTCAGTCTAAGTGCTCTTGTTCACTCAATGCTGTAATGTGCGGTTTCATACAATTCAAGGTTTTACTCATTAGCATTCATCAGCGTTCTTCATCACACACAGAGAAAATAGTCTTCTCTGTAATTGGCAGAAGAGGGGAATTTTTTATTTCATTTTCATTTTGTAAAAGTCTTAATTGAACTTGCCTAAGCTGCTCTCAGCTTCTGCAGAAAAAAGAAAATAGAAATCCAAACCCAGACTATAGCTCCTGCTTTGTATTTGTCACAGCCTGCAATGTGCAGTAGCTCTGAATAATTATCACAACAATCAGATCATTTCTGCACTTGTATGCCATGAGCCACTGATACTAACCAGGGTATTATAAAATGGTTTTATAACAACACAGAACAAGACGAATATCTAATTTGCTGCAAGATGAACTAAGTGTACGAGCTTGACATTATTTTGACTTGAACACTGGCTGCTTTTCATTGTTTGGCTGGATGTTCAAAACACTGCTTGACAACTCCCTGTGATCTCATCTTTGAATATTTGATGAAAAGACAATTTCAATTCAGGAGCAATAAGGCCCACACATGAGCTTAAAGAGATCTTTCACACTGTCAAAAAAATCTACATAGAAACCTCAAACTGCATGTAAACACATGCCTGCAAATTCTTAGCATACACAATGAAAAACATTGTTCCAAAACGGCAGAACCAGGACTATGAAAATGTTGAAAGAGTAAAGCACATCCGTGTATAATGGCTAACTGGTCAAAGAACGGGAATGCAAAAATGTTAATTGAATGCACGTAAACTTGTTTCCTCTAACACCTGCTGTATGTTACAGTGGCATGCAAACACACACACACACAGCCTACAGCTACAGTCAGAGGCACCCTTCCAGAGCCTGGATCCATGGGCTGAATAATTAGCTTGGAGCCATAAAGAGGGTTTCTCAGTCCAGCTATGCAGTCGGTGTAAAGAACAGCTCAAAGGCTCAACATATCCAATTTGCAATTCTAAAACATAAGGGAAATCACTGATTAATTAGGGATATAGCCAACCCAAGCGTCAGCTACAATTACACAGCACTCTGTGGCTGCAATGCCATGGCTTGCATTTCCTATAAAATATTCCTGTATGCTTTCATCAACAACATTGTCTCAGATCAAAGGACATGTGGTGTAAACTGGTCGTGAGAGAGCAGCCTGTAAATATAAACCACAATTAAACATTCATAGGTTCATGTTAATGAGGCCTAGAAAATTGCCGGATGGCTTGATAGCACAACAGTGGGTGTGCTAAGTCCGGCACAGGGAAGGCAACAGTTGCGGATGATTCATAAGAATACAAGCTTCATGCTGGCCTTGTCCGTGTACACTCAGGTGAGGCCTTGACACAAGTAGATGAAAGATGAAGTGGATGAATAAAAACAGTGTCCACCATCTTGTGGCAGGCTGCCATTCATCAAAACCCCAGCTTGATTTAAAATGACAGTGATGGCGGGAAAAGCAATCAATGGCTATTCTCTGCTTTATGAGTTTTCTATTCTGACTGGAATAACATTTGTCACCTTGGGGGGAAAAAGCTTACAGTGGGTGGGTAGCTTCACCTTCCACCTTCTCCCTGTACTCATTGGTTTTTAGATGAATAGAAATGATAAATCCCTGGGTGTCCACTGATTAAGTCAAAAGATTGATGGTCTAGTGGTAGCTGCTCATTTAATTGTAATTACATCTAATAACTGTTGTTGGGGATCAAAGAATAATGTTGAAATGGTTTCCTTTGTGATAAGGCAGTGGAGGTTTCGCTGGAGCCTGTCTATCATCTTTGCATCGCTGTCACTACTAGTAACATGTTGCAATGCAGTTATCGAAACTACTGGAATCATTATGACATTTCCCATGGGTGGGTTTATCAAGTCATATATACAGTCAAGCCCGAAATTATTCATACCCCTGGCAAATTTTGACTCAAAGTTAATTTTATTCAACCAGCAAGTTTTTT